AACCCTAAGCCCGAGCCCTAAACCCTAAGCCCTAAACCCTACACCCTAAGCCCTAAACCCTAAGCCCTAAGCCCTAAACCCTAAGCCCTAAACCCCAAGCCGTTCTAAGGATCAGCCTCTGGCCTTGGACCCCGCTTGGGCATCCAAGCTCCTGGGCAGCTCTCTGGATCCTGACGACCAGGCCGGGGTTCAGGGGCTAGGGCTTTTTGGGTTTGGGGTTTAGGGTTTAGGGCTGAACGGGTGCGACGTGTCCAGGCAGGATTAAAGCAAGCCTGTGCAAAAGGTCTTTGGGTTTAAGGGTTTAGGGTTTAGGGACTGCGCCTTTTTCCGGGCCGCTCGTCCCACTCCACTTCTTAGAGTTTAGATCGCTCTCCGTGCTCGGTGACTTGGGGAAGTACATGTTCTGAGGAGCAACTCCTTCCACGACAGTCCTGCAGCAGACCGTCTTCCTTTTGTATGGCGGCCCGAGCAGTGCAAGACCACGGGGAAGACCAGACCAAACCACATCTCGATCACATTTATATTTACAGTGTTGTTACTTGTTACTACGAGGATTAGCTATTTCTATTATAATGGATATTACTACTACTATGATTATTCAGACCACTCCATGACCACCGCAAAACTCCAAAGCGACACGCGCCTCTCCGATCAGAGGAGACCACACCAAGGATCCGCCCTCTTTAAAGTCTAGGCACTTCGAGCGCTACCACACCCCAAAATCGCTTCCGCCCCCCTCCCACATGTACTGACGGGAATAAGAAGCCGCCGACGCGCCTTATAGTGTGGCCCTTCTTCACTGCACTGTAGGCATGTCGACTCTGTTGCAGACCCCGAGGGGGGATTTAGAGGACCAAGACGGACGAGCCCTGTCGGCCGAATCCTGGGGTCCTCCAGAGCTCTAGACATTCCGAGCGATTCGAAGGTCAACCTTACAATGAACTCGCTCGTCGCAGTCAGAGAGTATTAGGGCGACGAAAGCCACGGCCGAGAATTTTCGGCTGGGGTCGTGCGTCACAGCATGCTTGGCCTGCCAAGCGCAGCCCGGGAAGCTCACAAGAAATTTTGTTTATTATGATGAGGAGGTCCTGCCGGGGTTCTCAGACTTTTGAACTGAGGGAAAAGCACAGGAGAGGACGGAGCACTCAGCCTTTTGTGATTGTCTTGGCTTTCCACGACACAAGGTGTTCGGGTTGCCAGCTCCCTGCAGGGGTCGTGGTTTATACAGCTTTCTTGGGTTGAATAGAAATTTGACTCGACTGGATCCTCGAAATTTCTATTCTTTCTGAATATGGGGAGCCGATTCACTTCAAAAGGATCTAACCATGTTCGAAGATCACAACACCTACAATCCTAAAGCAAGCAGAGCCCGAAAGCCTGAACGTGCCATCGCTTCCAGAAGTGTAACGAAGATCTCAAAACACCGCAGCCTCTGTAGCATTGACGGTGTAGAGATCAAGACAAAGGAGGTAAAGACCCCAAGTTACCACGCCTGTAGATGTCGTCCATCCCCATTGTGCCCGCAGCACTAAAGTTTCTCCGTTTGTATCTATGTGTATCGTATCTCTATTGCGATCTTTGTATCTGAACCTCTCGTTTCGCTATATTTATATCCAAGAGTTTAAATTTCTATCAGAGTATGAGAATGCATGTATGTATGTATGTATGTATGTATGCATGCATGTATGTCTGCATTAATGTATGTATGTTTGCATATTATGCATGTATGTATGTGTGCATGTATGCATGTATGTATGTATGCATGTATGCATGTATGCATGCAATGTATGTATGCATGCATGCATGGATGTATGCATGTATGCATGTATGTATGTACGTATGTATGTGTGTGTATATATATATATATATGTGTGTGTGTGTGTCTTTGTGTCACATGATACAGATTTGGAGTTTGTCTGCATGCAGGTGGGCCCTGACGGGGAGTCGCTGATCTCTGGCCTCAACACGCCTTCTGCCACGATGTATTTTTGCGGTCGGAAACGTTCCAAAGGTTCCTTGAAGGGTTTCAGGAGAAATTATAGTGTGTTATTGGGGCGGTATAGTGTGTCATTGGAGCGGGAATAATTACCAAGATTATTCGTAGGGTTCCTTTATTCTGTTTACACTCGAGTATACCCCAACGTCCTACGTATTCTAATTACTCAGGCCTTCAAATTACGTGTTCAGGAAATTATGATGTTGGGGGCTGGGGCTTCTTGGTTTTAGGATTCGCGTTTCAAGGTTTTGATGCGGATGTTGCACTTGGTGTTGTTTATGCGTGGGTTCATGGTAGTCTCATTGGGGTCCTCCCTGACAAAAAGGCGCTGAAGCCAGTTTTGTTTACCATCTTCGGGAGATCAGGCCATCTGCGGTGCAGGGATTTTGGTTTAGACGTGTTTAGGGTTTTGAGTGCGATATAGAAGCCGGGACAAGTACTACTAGCAACTAGTACTCCTTTGGGTTTACTCCTGTGGGCTTCTCATTGTAATTATAGTTTAATATGCCCGAATCCTTAAAGGAAATGGTTCAGGCAGCAAAATCAGGGCTTGTGGTTAAGAGGGTTTCGGTGTTAGACTTTACTGCCATGAATGTGCCCTTTGGCACGCGGGCACTGGATGTCCGAGCCTTGACTTCTAAACATTCAACTGAAAGACTCGACGGTTTGAGGAACTCTGAAGCTTTACCCCTAAATCCTTAAGGCCCAAAACTTATAATCCTAAACCCTAAACTGTAGGTTCCTTGACATGTGTCCCTTCGCATGATTTCGTTGCCGGAACAACGAGGAAGGCCATTTTCTGGAGTTCAAACAATTAACTATAGAAAACCCAAGCCCTTCTGTACTAGGCCAGTCGCTGCCTTGCGAGTTTCACGGATTTATGAAGAACCCCGGAACACATGTTGAACTGTGTCGGAAGCAACCTTTTTGACCCCCCGTAGTAGGCTTTCGCCTTGCCTCGTGCGTCCGGGGCATCTTTGTGTGCGGCATGTTTCGTGCATCACGGTCTAAAGTTCAAGTGAGCAGTTGCAACATGCAAGTCGAGATCGTGCACCAGGATATCCACAGTGATGACTTGTCTTGCCCCTGCCTTTGCTCCCAAATCACGCCCATAGCCATAGCCTGCATCTTCATGAGTCATGAGGTATGCAGCGTGCCGTGGCTGCGGTTATGACGACTTTGGTTTTGCAGTCAAGGAGTTGATCTAGGTAAGCCTTTGGGATAATTTTTCAGTTTCCCTTGTTGGGCTTTGGAGGATCTTACTTACGAATATTTTCAGAGACTGAGGGATATTTTGACTGAAGATGTAGCTGCAGTAGGATTGGAAGAGCATCTGGCCGTGCTGCCACCATGCCCCTTAGTTGCGGTATGGCGGAGTCAGTGCGCCTTTGTTACGACTGCTGCCGACATGACTACCGCTGGCTACATTCGAGTTACAGTCAGTCGCAGTTGTTGGTATTGCTCTTGTTATCGTCGTTTTCGTCGTCACCGTCTTCGATGTCGTCGTGTTGCCACTGGGATGATGCGCAGTACCTTCCTCTGTTCGGGGGCAGTTGCAGTTGTAGGTCCTCGTAGGTGTGGTCGTAAGTTTGCTGCCAAGAGGACAGTTATTGCCACTGCTTCCAGAATACGATGGTCACTGACTTGGTTTCCATTGCTACTTCATTGCTATGCATGGCCATTTGTTGTTATGAGTTTTGTGTGTGTGTGTGCGGGAGAGAGAATTGGGTGTATCTATCTGTCTGCCTGCCTGTCTATCTGTATATCTACCTGTCTGTCTTTTTTTATGTTTGTCTAATCTGTTATCTGTCTATCTATCTATCTATCTATCTATCTATCTATTTATCTACCGGTCTACCTATCTATCTGTCAGCCTATCTATCTGTCACTCGAGCTGTCTAGCCTTCTTTGTCTGTGTCTGTTTATACCCATCTATCTAACTATCTATGATGATGACGTGATGATGACGATGATGATGATACGATGATGACGAACACCGCGAAGACGATGGTTCTGGTGGCGGCGGTGGTGGTACTGATGGTGAGGGCACCTGGAGACATGATGGTAACGGTGAGAATCCCTAAGAGTCCATATACCCAGATAGTAGATACTCTGGCCTTAAAGTAGTCCCTATAAGGCACTTTGGGCAATGTATGCACTTTATGAATACATGGACCCTTAGGGAATGATGTTCAAACATGAAGTTGGGCAAGGTCCATTGCTGGGCCTGGAGAGTCGGCTTCCCAGTCTTCCCGCAGCCCCACTGTGGCAGACCGCGGAGCTATGTTCCTAGGTTGGGCTTACACTGGGAATCTTCTGAAACCTCCTCCTTGATAGTTGTACGGCTTACATGGAAAGTATCGCGGAGTATAAGCCCGAGAGATTCATAGAACCCTTTATAAGACGTCTCGAGTCTTTACCCCGGACGCTTACTCGCGGTCGAGGTATGCCTTTGAGCACGGTACCTCCGGAGGTGGCATTCTCATAACGGCCACGGAGCCATCTGAGGCAGACATACGCAGTGTTTACGGCTTCCAGACGAAATGAAAGGGCCTGACCAGTTGCGTGTAGTAAGGGACTTCAAACCTTGCTTTCAGCCCAAATTCCTTGAAGACTCAAAACCCTAAGAACCCCAAACCTTAAGCCCCCCTTTTAACCAAAGAACCTACAGCCTCAAACACCTGGAATCCCGAAAGACAAAGCCCAAGCCATTCTCGTTGGGACTTTGCAGTTTGTGAGCTTCTCTGCCTCGAGATTTTGGGTCTCCCTTAGTTGGCTGAGAGCCGGGAAAGGGATGTTTTGGGTGTACGATTTGCTTATTACAAAACGGTTTATAAGGGTTCAGGGTTAAAGGGTTTAGGGTTTGAGGGCTTAGGATTTAAGGGTTTAGAGGTTAGGGTTCCGTGTGCTCAGACCTTTAGGCGATTGCACAAGTCCTCATCCAAAAAAGACGTTATAGGGTCTAACTTAGGGTTCAGAGATTCATGTAGAGATGGGTTTTAAGGGGTTTCGGGGTTTAGGATTCACGGGATTGCAGTCCCTGCTCACAAATTCGATTTACGGGATGTAAGAGCCGAAAAAGAGCTCAGCAGCAAACCTTAGCTGAACGGGGTTTATTTTTTGAAAGCTGCACTACACCGTGCTTCTCATGCCAGGCATCTGTTAGCAACCTCCCCATCCGGACGCAGAACGTACCCTGGCCTCGAATTTCTGTTGAAGAGGGCCCTTCGGAGGTCGGGGCTTCTAGGTGTAGGGCGTAGAGGCTTCTTTGGTTCCGCGTAGATCAGTGTTGAACAAGTTGTACCATTTTTGAACACATAATATAACAATTATCACAATAACAATACCAATAATTAAAACAGAAATGTACGACATTTCCTCGCGGGATTCACATTGAAATCACAGCCGAAGCAAGCGGGAAATCCAATAAGTCCGGAGCGCATGTAGCACATGTTTAGGGCGAGGATGTTTTTTTCTGGTTGAGCCCTTTGCGATCGGTTTAGGGGTTCAGGGTTTAGGGGACCTGCCATGGAACCTATGCTGGCATTCGTGAGCCTTGGCCTCTCGCTTCAAAGCCCAGACCCTCAAGCGTAACGCTAAACCCTGGAGACTCGATCCGCGCCGCCTTTGGCGTTTCAGAACTAGTCTTTGGCCGTAGGGTTCAGGATTTCCCCTTATGTCCTGTTCTTGGTTGGGGCCGGGTTCTGTGGAGTGGTTCGTAGCTTGACGCCAAATTGGCTTCAGGTCTGAATTTTGCCTTTGCCTTGCCCAGTTTTCGCTCAACGGCGTGTCACTTCTGGGGTTTCTCTTGCGTTTATTGTGTTCCGACCTACAATGGAAGTCCCTGGAGCCCACAACCGGCAATCGCAAAAACACCTTGGAACCGAAGACCGGGTATACCCTAAACCCCTATAGAGCCCTACAAACCCTGAACTAGGGGAGCCCTTGCCCTCACATCTCCAAAACCCTAAGATCGGAAACCTTTCCCCCCCCCCCCCGACCGCCCGTCTTGCGTGTGCGGAACTTTCAGAACCTACAATCTATACAAAAACTTAAACCCAAATCTCGCACCTTCCGAGGCCAATGAATAATTCGAATCTAGATATGGAAACTAGTAGTAAGTAGGTGGAAATAGTAAAACTATAGTATAAAAAGCTACAGCCCCAAAACCAACAAACTTCCCACGGAGCCCTAAACCCTAAACCCCTAAACCCCTAAACCCAAAACCCCCAAACCCTAAACCCCTAGCCTAAACCCCTAAACCCCTACACCCTTAAACCCTAAACCCTTAAACCCCTAAACCCCTATAAACCCCTAAACCTCTAAACCCCCAAACCCCCAAACCCTAAACCCCTAAACCCCTAAACCCTTAACCCCTAAACCCCTAAACCCCTAAACCCTAAACCCCTAAACCCCTTAACCACTAAATCCTAAACCCCTAAACCCTAAGCCCCCATAAACCCAAAAATCCAACAAGCTTCCCACGGAGGCCTTGGCCTACGCGCGGCTGAAAGAGCAGATCCTCTCGGAAGATCGCCTTCTGAGCCGCTTGGAGGGCTTTTGGCCATGGAAGGGGAATACTTCGGACTCAGGAGGGTTCAAGGGGGTCTATAAGGGGTCTATAGGGTTTAGGTGTTAGGTTTCAAGGTTTGGGATTTCGGAGTTCAGGGTTTAGTTTCTTGGGGGTTTGCGAGTTTAGGGTGTTGTTGTTGAGAAGTGTGTGGTCTGAGTTCGTTGCCAAGGCTGGGAACGGGCTTGGAAGAGGGTTTGACTTCTAAACTTTCGGATTGCATGTTGCTGTTTGTGTCCAAAATTTGGACCTAGACAGCGAAAAGGGCATCATCTTCCTACCCGGATAGCACCTGCACTACAAGGTGACCTTGTGCTTCGAAACAGAAGCACCTGCAGCACACAAGGAGCTCACCCAAACAACGTGCCGAACGGAGATGTAGCCGACGACATCCTGTAAGGCATCTTGCGGCACCTGTAGCAACACTCGTAATCGTTGCCCTTGCCGTCGTCCTAGCAATAGCTGTAGCTGTAGTAGTGGCCGTCGCAGTCACAGTCGTCGACGTTTTCGCGGTTGTCTTCGTCGCAGTCGTATTCGCAGCCGCAGCAGCCGCAGTCGCAGTCGTAGGTGATCGTACTCGTAGTAAGCGTAGGCATAGTCGTAGTCGCAGTCATAGTTGTCGTCATGGTCGTCCAAGGAGCAAGCAGCACAAGCAGAAGTAGTAGCAGTAGTAGTAGAAGTAGTAGTCGGAGTAGTAGTAGTAGTAGTAGTAGTAGTAGTAGTAGTAGCAATAGTAGCAGTAGTAGTAGTAGTAGTAGTAGTAGTAGTAGTAGTAGTAGTAGTAGTAGTAGTAGTAGTAGTAGCACTCGTACTAGTACTAGTAGTAGCATCAGGTACTTAGCAGTAGCAGTA